AAAAATATTCTTATAATTTTTCTTTTCACAAAAGATTGCATTGTCATCAGTTTCTAAGCTATCCTGAAAGTTTCAGCTTGCTAGCTAGTTGGGAAGTGAGCAAAATTTGAGCTGCAAAATTTGATCCGGACAAACAAACGGACAAGAAAGCGAGTTAATAAAAACGTGTTAACTTTGAGAATTTTCTGCAATTTTCTATTTCCCTCAACAAAATATAGGTAGATTTAAATTCAAGTTAGTAAACTGTAAAGGGATCAATAAATGATTCCAATAATGTGCCTCAAAAAACCACTCTTACGCAGAAGCAGCAAACGTGGATGGCTTCAAAACCTCTGCAGCACTGACATCGTGCGACATCTGGCGGCCGTCCACGTGCCAGACGGGCAACTCGTGAACCCGGGCAGATTCAAAGTCTTCGACAAGTCTGACTTCATAATGCGAAATCCCCGATTGGGCTGCTTCTGCATCTCGTCTGCTTCTTTTCTTCACGAGGGCGTCCATCTTATTTCGGTAGAAAATTTCTGCCTCTCTTTTAAATTTACTGCACCATTTCGGAAAATTTCACCAGGGCAAGACGGAGAAATCGTCAATTGGGAGGATGACTAATGAAGGTCATCGGATCGCAATTTTCTGGACATTCCAGCCGTTCATACACGAGCCCACTGAGAAGAATACGTCATTTATATCAATTTATACAATACGTGTATTTTCTAAACACGTTTTATTGCTGACCGATAATACAACAAAAACACAGAAAACTGCAGTACACCAATTTGACAGGGTTCACGAAATTCAATAAATTTGTAAAAAAAAAAAAGAGTAACGCATGCACAAAACTCAAATGCAATTTAGAAAACATTCTCCCTGACTTTTTCCGCCAAATTTACATCGTATCGTATACAGTATAATGGAAATTTCGCCAGCTAGGTTCTTTCGAAGTAAGAAAATCAAACGACATCAACCAGAGTTTCATCATCTATTCAGGGCTCACGAAATTCGAAAAATTTCAAAAGAACACTTCATTCAAAAAACTCAAAAGCATTTTACGGAACATTCTCTCCTTGACTTATTCCGCTGAATTTTGACCACATCATTTAGTATATAATATCGAATCTTGCCAGCTTCTGCTGAATAAAGAGCAGCAAACAAAAAAGTTCAAATCAAATGGCAAGCCCAAAATATGATATTGAACAGCAGGAAAAATGCGGGAATCCCAATTTTAATTCCCATATCGATCCTCGCAGCCCACAAAACAAAAGAACCCTTCAACACTTCAATTCTTGATTCCTGCAAGAAGTATAGAAAAAATAATTTCAGTAATTAAAAATACATATAATTTGGGTCCACCAAAATTCATACCTGTCCACCTCTGAGAAGCTTTTCGACAGCAATTGTTTCAAAAATTGCAAGTGACACGAGGAAGCAAGTTATTCCCGTCCAAGTATCCATTGCCTAGATTTGCGAGATAATAAAAAAAAAATGCAAGCGTATTTACAATTTTGCAATATATGAGAAAAACAATCAACTCACTGTGGGATAAGGAACCCGAGGTAAAACAAAGTGCATAGAGCTCGAAAGGTACCAAACCGCTGCCAAAAGAATTCCGTTCAACGTCAGTCTTGGCGTTAATTCTGCAAAAAATCGTTCAATTAAAATTTTTAATTTGAATATACTGTATAACTGTTTCAATGACTAAACTTACCCCTTGGGTCGATCCAAAGAGTCGCGTAAGACAAGAAAACAGCACAAAGACAAGGAACAAAAATGCTGATAATGTATCCGTTACTCAAACGGTGCATCGACAAAGTGACAGTCAGTGAAGTATAATTCCCTGGTGAAGACGGTCAAATATTATTAACAATTTTAATAATTTCACAACGAAAAGCAAAGCATAAACTCTTAAAAATTATTTTTTAAAATAGTATCTGCGCGCAATAAATCAAAATATAATAATCTCACCTGAGAAAACGGACGCGTATTTGTCGTCGACGTCGAGCGGAACATGAGTGACGTCGACGCTGTCTTTGCTTGGAGCTTAAGCATTCAGCCAGAATTGAAGGGAAAATTAATTTTCGAAGATAATCATCAATATTACACTCTAGCAATACAAATTTATAAATTAAACTCACTATTGACACTGAACAACAGAGTTTTCCCATCAATTGCGATTTCCGCAGGAGCTTGGTAACCGTAAGGCACAACAGATGCTCCAGAAACTTTCTTGATTCGAAGAATTATGTCTTCTTGTGTTAGTCCATCTAAAATCCCAATAAAAATGGTAAATTCATGCCTGCTTAGAATCCTTAGATTATTTTGTAAGCATCTCTTTCTATAAGATTTTGTTTGTCTCTATTTATTTTTAACAAGAATGCTACTTATGTAATGTCATCATAATAATTGTGAGTCCTCAAATAGCATAACAATACCCTGTTCTTGAACTGAGTTTCATATGTGAAGATCCGCATAGCAACGTACTGGAATCAGTGTACCACAATGCAACAGTGTCTTGTGACTGGTCATTCACATGACTTGGTTTACTTTCTGTTTATCTTTATTCATGCGTGGTCAGTTGTGCGCATCCAATGTCTATAAAGGAGTGTCCAAACACTCCTTCCATTGCTCATTGCTGGTCTGGACTGTTGTTGTGCATGATCTGAAATATATGTATTTGGGACTAAGAGAAGTTGTCTCATTGGCTTTACTCCAGCCATAAGATTAAGACTTCTTGACATAGTTTATCTCAACAGAAATCATCGGATAAGGATTCAAGGGATTACAATGCATAGAAGACGTTCACGCGTAGTTCCAAAATTTTGTATACATCTGACAGTTTGGGATAACAGTAAACATAAAGTGCATGCTTGTTAGGTATATGTAAAGAGGATGCTTGTTACATAGGAAAAAAAAGGAAAAGGTTAAACTGATCCATGGGTTTTTAGCCTTTTAATTTTTTCTGACACTTTTTCATTATGTTTTTATCCATATTTTTGAATTTTTGGCAGAATATAAAGTAAATGCAACCTATACTTATATATACTGTGTGCATGTGTCACTTCCATGAATGCATCATAGAACAAATCTTTTACATGTAATCAAAATCTTGCATCAAAAATGGTGTCCCAAATGGATGCAAGTAGTGCAGCATATTCTTCAAATACTGCATCAACCATTCATCCTGTGGGAGTGTGTCCATTTCCACATCATTTTCATAGAACACAGGTCAAAAATTTAGACACATGAATATAAACCTCAAAATGACATGTGATTGACATGTTTTTGGATTTGGAATGGCTTTCCTGGGAGTCAAATTGCAAATTGAATCTGTCAACAGTACATTTACTGTACATCTGAAAATTATGACAACCAAAATTGATTCTTTTCATTTTAAATTCAAGTTTATTTGGAAAGAAATGCAACAAAATGTCTGCATTAAAATCAAGTTAACATCAAGCTTTATGAAATTTTTGTACTCTCATAAAAATGTAAAAAAAAATTTCAGCGGGAAATGAATTTTGAAATGGACAATTGTTACTCACAAGTGGACACGTCGATATTGCACTGAAAAGTGTCCATGGGGAATTTTCTCAAATCGTTCCCAGCACAGTAAACCTTCATCTGAAATCTAAAACGACACAAAAACAGCGCTTTAGAAATTTTAAAACGTGTGGTGAGGCATAAATGATTCAATTTGCCTTCTGCTGATGAGAACAGCACCAGTGGAAGTGTCAACTCGAACCAGAGAATTGGCGTGAGGCAACTCATGAAAATCCACATCTAGGCTATTTTGCACGAACAAATCCGGCATCCAGAAACGGTTCACAATTTCCGGGTCATGTGTGCTGATTTTCTGCGGGTTTTGCGGGTTCGCATTCACGTCTTTCAACCTCGTGTCCTCGTAATTGTATCGCAGAGTCATCCCGAAGGTCATCGTCTAAAATCGCATCCAGTACATAGAATAAAAAATAATAAAACCATCAGCAGATTCCTCATACACTTTTTTATATTAAAAAGCTTTTTAAATGTTAAGAGCGAATTAATTACGTTTTAAATCGAGATTTGGAGATGCTGAATCTGAAAACGCAACGAGGATTATGAAAACCCAGTTTTCAATTTTTCCCAAGTCCACAGTTTCCGTAAAATATGGTTTCATAATCGATTTTTTTTGTCGTTGTCTGATTGTGATGAAGTTAGCTTGAAACGTGGAATAATTATTACCATCAAGAAGCATAATTTGCAGCATAACTTTTCGCTCATTGCAGACGTCCCTGAAACCATGAGCTTTTTTTTTCGAAGAAATTCAATCGCAAAGCTAAAAATTATGTTGAGAGTCCTGCTACGTTTTCTGGAGGGCCATTATTCCAACTTCTGAATGTTAAAACTGCAAAAGAACCACGACATGTTTCCCACCTATACATTTAGGGAAAATTTAAAAATTTTTATGCCCAAAATATGATATTGAACAGCAGGAAAAATGCGGGAATCCCAATTTTAATTCCCATATCGATCCTCGCAGCCCACAAAACAAAAGAACCCTTCAACACTTCAATTCTTGATTCCTGCAAGAAGTGTAGAAAAAATAATTTCAGTAATAAATAATACATATAATTTGGGTCCACCAGAATTCATACCTGTCCACCTCTGAGAAGCTTTTCGACAGCAATTGTTTCGAAAATTGCAAGTGACACGAGGAAGCAAGTTATTCCCGTCCAAGTATCCATTGCCTACATTTGCGAGATAATAAAAAAAAATGCAAGCGTATTTACAATTTCGCAATATATGAGAAAAACAATCAACTCACGGTCGGATAAGGAACCCGAGGTAAAACAAAGTGCATAGAGCTCGAAAGGTACCAAACAGCTGCCAAAAGAATTCCATTCAACGTCAGTCTTGGCGTTAATTCTGCAAAAAATCGTTCAATTAAAAAATTTAATTTGAATATACTGTATAACTGTTTCAATGACTAAACTTACCCCTTGGGTCGATCCAAAGAGTCGCGTAAGACAAGAAAACAGCACAAAGACAAGGAACAAAAATGCTGATGATGTATCCGTTACTCAAACGGTGCATCGACAAAGTGACAGTCAGTGAAGTATAATTCCCTGGTGAAGACGGTCAAATATTATTAACAATTTAAATAATTTCACAACGAAAAGCAAAGCATAAACTCTTAAAAATTATTTTTAAAAATAGTATCTGCGCGCAATAAATCAAAATATAATAATCTCACCTGAGAAAACGGATGCGTATTTGTCGTCGACGTCGAGCGGAACATGAGTGACGTCGACGCTGTCTTTGCTTGGAGCTTAAGCATTCAGCCAGAATTGAAGGGAAAATTCATTTTCCAAGATAACCATCAATATTATACACTCTAGCAATACAAATTTATAAATTAAACTCACTATTGACACTGAACAACAGAGTTTTCCCATCAATTGCGATTTCCGCAGGAGCTTGGTAACCGTAAGGCACAACAGATGCTCCAGAAACTTTCTTGATTCGAAGAATGATGTCTTCTTGTGTTAGTCCATCTAAAATCCCAATAAAAATGGTAAATTCATGCCTCCATAGATTCTCCTAAAGCCTCTCTTTATAAAATTCTCTGTTTGCCTATATTTATTTGTAACAAGGATGCTACTTATGTAAATGTAAAGTGTATGTTTGTTAGGTTATTTTATAATATACTGTATGCTTGTAAAGAGTATATTTAAATACACTCTTTAAATTTAAAGAGGATCCTAGTTACATAGGAAAAAAAGGGAAAAGGGTAAACTGATCCATGGGTTTTTTAGCCTTTTACTGAAGTTTTCTTTCTGACACTTTTCAGAATGTTTTATCCATTTTTTTGAATTTTTGGCAGAATATAAAGTAAATGCAACCTATACTTGTACTGTATACTGTGTGCATGTGTCACTTCCATGAATGCATCATACAACAAATCATTTACATGTAATCAAAATCTTGCATCAAAAATGGTGTCCCAAATGGATGCAAGTAGTGCAGCATATTCTTCAAATACTGCATCAACCATTCATCCTGTGGGAGTGTGTCCATTTCCACATCATTTTCATAGAACACAGGTCAAAAATTTAGACACATGAATATAAACCTCAAAATGACATGTGATTGACATGTTTTTGAATGTGGAATGGCTTTCCTGGGAGTCAAATTGCAAATTGAATCTATCAACAGTACATTTACTGTACATCTGAAAATTATGATAACCAAAATTGATTCTTTTCATTTTAAATTCAAGTTTATTTGGAAAGAAATGCAACAAAATGTCTGCATTAAAATCAAGTTAACATCAAGCTTTATGAAATTTTCGTACTCTCATAAAAATGTGAAAAAACATTTCAGGGGGAAATGAATTTTAAAATGGACAATTGTTACTCACAAGTGGACACGTCAATATTGCACTGAAAAGTGTCCATGGGGAATTTTCTCAAATCGTTCCCAGCACAGTAAACCTTCATCTGAAACCTAAAACGCCACAAAAAAAAAACGCTTTAGAAATATCAAAACGTGTGACGAGGCATAAATAAATTCAATTGCCTTCTGCTGATGAGAACAGCACCAGTGGAAGTGTCAACTCGAACCAGAGAATTGGCGTGAGGCAACTCGTGAAAATCCACATCTAGGCTATTTTGCACGAACAAATCCGGCATCCAGAAACGGTTCACAATTTCCGGGTCGTGTGTGCTGATTTTCTGCAGGTTTTGCGGGTTCGCATTCACGTCTTTCAACCTCGTATCCTCGTAATTGTATCGCAGAGTCATCCCGAAGGTCATCGTCTAAAATCGCATCCAGTACATAGAATAAAAAATAACGAAATCATCAGCTGATACCTCATCCTTTTTTTTTTAATTAAAAGGGTTTTTGAATATTCAGATCTATTTAATCTCGTATAAAATCGATTCTTGGAGATACTGAATCTGAAACGCAACGAGGATTATGAAAACCAAGTTTTCAATTTTTCCCGAGTCCACAGTTTCCGTAAGATGTGGTTTCATAATTGAATTTTATTCGTTGTCAGAATTGTGATGAAGTTAGCTTGACACGTGGAATAATTATTACCATCAAGAAGCATAATTTGCAGCATAACTTTTCGCTCATTGCAGACGTCCCTGAAACCATGAGCTTTTTTTTCGAAGAAATTTAATTGCAAAGCTGAAAATTATGTTGAGAGTCCTGCTACGTTTTCTGGAGGGCCATTATTCCAACTTCTGAATGTTAAAACTGCAAAAGAACCACGACATGTTTCCCACCTATACATTTAGGGAAAATTTAAAAATTTTTAAAAACTTTTTGAGAGATTGGATTGGATGCAAACCTGTCTGTGCAGATCAATTTCCTCGATTTCACGGATGTACATGGAAAGTGAGACAGCCACAGGAGGTCCATCAGCTGAGGAATTTATAGAAAAATGCATTCAATTCTTGTTTTTCTGTATAAAAATAGAATATCACCTCAGCAGTATTACCTTGAGGTCTTTGCAATTTATCGTAAGATCCACTCAGGAGACCTTCGAGTTCTGCTCTTGAACTTCTACTCGAGACTCTTGCAAAGCAAATTCTGCGGAATTAAAAAAAATGTTCACTCAAAAACCTTAAAATATCGACTTTAAAAACGCAACCAGAAATTCAACTCACGTGAAAAGCAGCACTGGTAGGACACACTTCGACATTTTCCTCAGCTGTCAAAAATGCTTTCCTATATACTTGAAATCCAAGAACTTTTTCAAGACTTTTTCCACTAAAAATAAAAAATTCGACACAACTGAATCAAGTCTCAAGCAAAAAAGCTCTCATCAACAAGAAGAGAAGCTTCTCACTACACTGATGTGATCTAAAGGAACGAACGTTGACACCCGAACCCGCATCGCATATATACGCGCAGGGTACACAGAACCCTGATGGTGTGAGCTCGTCTTGTCTCTCTCGATCCCCTCTTTGGGTTATTTAAAAACAAGAGAACATTAGAAGACAAAAGATCCTTTTCTTGCAAATGATGGAGGGGTATGACGAAGCGAAAAAAATAAATAAATAGCTCCGCCTCCCGGGACTTTAAAAATAATTCCCGGTACGTCCTCGGAAACTGCGTTGCTTCATGTTCTGTTTTCGAGGAGCGAACGTCTGTGTAAGAATTTTTCTTAGTCGTGTGGTTTTTTTGTGTGGATAAAATAGACACAAATCTGGAATTCTGTGCTTTTTTGTTGTGACATTTTTCTGTCTTTTTCTGTTTTTCAATCACTGTCAGCTTGAAGAAGTTTTCCTGCCGAATTTGCATGTTTTAAGAATATCTCAAAAGCAGTATAAGTGACCTCATGTTTTCGAAATAATTAAGCAAACTTCTTAGTCTCAATGTAAATTAATCAACGACGAAAAAATTATAATATAGGAAAATTTTAACCTTGGCAATTTTTTAAATTTTAAAATTTAAAGGCTGAATTTTAAAGATCTCCGAAGATGTCACCTTCTTGAGCAATTTTAAAAAGATTTATCGAGGTTAGATTTTAGTGGATAGTAAATCATCTTGCAGTGGTATTTAAGATAATTTTACAGAAACTTGAGGACTCCAAGACGTTCATTTCGAGTTTCTGTATGGAAAACACTCAAATTAAGCCTTCAAATCAATGTTGACAAAACAAATTACTGTACATTCCATACTTAAAATAATACCTCGATCAAATCACTTGATCAACTTAACAATTTCCAATAAAATAATCTTTAGCTCCAATCTAGTATTTAGCCAAGTTTAAAATGTCAATACTGTGAACCAGAAAAATCATTGTATAACCTGCACCTATAATATAAGCTAATCACGCTAACTAAAATACAGTACTCAATTTTGTTTAATTTTCTCTCAAGTCCCTTTGACTTGAACCGAGCACAGTTAGACTTTTAAAAATGTCCATTCTGCAGGGCAAGTAATTTCTAAAAACCGTATGTAACATCGCAAATAGTCTGCTTCAATTGAAAGTTTTATTTGCATCATAAATTTGAAGCCAAATAAGCGGAGACTTTGCATAATTTGGCACGTTTTCGAGAGGGTTGTTGTTTCTTCATGCCAAATGCAGATCGTCCTCCGAATCGTGCTTTTGATGTACTGAAGACTCGCTCAGCAACTCATCAGACGAAGTTTCCGGGCTCACATGGACGAACCTGTACTGAGGTCGGTCACTTTTGAACTGCGCCAACAAGATGTCGTTCAAGTTCACGGTGACTGTTGCAATATCGCTGGTGATCCTTCCCAAAGTCACCATCACTTGAAAAATTCAATTTATACCACACAACAATATCCAGAAAAAAATACAAGCTTCCATTAAAACGGTATTTTTCGATGATGCGAAATTTTTTCAAGGTCCTGGCCAAAACTCTTCATGCAGAAACAATTGTTTATAAAGAAATTTTGGTAAAACTGAATTTCACTATTCAGTACAACAAATTCCTCGTTTCATGATTTTAAGCAGTAGTTTTCCTCGTATACTTGAAGAAACTAACGAGATTATTTTGTTTCTGGGGTAAAGTTTATACTGTGACTCGACTGTGTGATGGAAAACTTTTGTCATTCTGTGTAAATACAGCGGCATATTTGCTCATTTCTTCAAAACAAATAAGTTCTTGAAATAAACTGATATCTTATTTCATAAAAATATCAATGCTTTAAAATATTTGTTTTGTTTCAATAAATCTTGGGGGTTTATGAAAATTTGTTACACTATATGATTTTGCTGGGCAGGTTATAATCAGAACAAGAGCTACTTTATTTCAAATGAGAATATCTACTTGATGATCTGATCCCAATTTGCAAAATAAAAAATAAGCCTCAGGGATGGGTTAACAACATACCGTGAAGGAAGTTGATGATTCCCATGGACAGCTCTTCACCAGGCTGCATGCTTTCTTCCACAACGTCGGCCAAAGTCGGGGAATATTGGCGCAACATTTCATGCTCATTTTTCGACTTGTCACTCTTTTTCTGCAGATCCCACGGAAACAAAAACTATGAGAAAAATTCATATACTAGAGAACGCAATTTCAAAATAATTAATTTAAGGAACATCATAATGAATATTATTGCTGCTCTTGGCAAAATCATCTCTAGTTCAATGTCCGTCATCTGGGAAAACTTTAAAGAATATTTCAGTATACCTGACGCATACTTCTCTATTCTGGAAAATTTTTCAACATTTTCCAAAAGTAAAATTGCAGTAATGGATGCACTAGAAATTATAATTTATAAAATCTTCAGCGAAGTTTCTCAACTGCACCAAAAATGTCTCTTATATTACGGCAGAAATAGTTTTGAAATTTAAAAAACGCAATAAGAAATTATTCGAATATTCATCTGTACCCAAGTTCATGAGACAGAATCATTAAAAATCCCAAGACATTTTCATGATTAGTTGAGGTTTTTTATCAACTCTTGCTATTGTTGAATTTTGGCTCAAACAAGGGTTAAAAAATTCGGCAGTCGTACTGCAAATAAAAATGCATTCAATCTTTAAACATTCGAAGAAAAAAATTGAATTCCTTATACCGGATCTTTATTCCCGTCAATCCCTGCTTTGATTTTCACCCTTCGCAATAAGAGTAATTAATTGTAGTCAAATAATATCACCTATTGAAAAAATTGCGATGCATTCGACATTTTACTCAAAAAAAAATATTAGGACTCAGGTTCGAGAATAAAACACAGGCAAAAATCTTTGCAGAAGAACTTCCCAAATTATATAACCTGTAAATTTTCGAAATGCAGAAAGTACGTAGCTACTGTATCAAAATAGCATGATATATGGAAAAGAGTGCCGTTTAAAAATATATATATACTTTACAAACCCCTGCAGACGACGTGTCGAAAGAGGACGAAGTCGACGACGAAGAAGACGACGACCCAAGCCCGTATCCTCCCATTGCGTCATCATCCGAGTAACTAGAAAGCGATCCAGAAGAACCCCCAGCAGACGACGAGTCATCGTTCGTGACCACCGAGAGCTGCGAATATTTGTCACGCAAATCGAAACTCTGCTTCTTATTGTTCTTTATCCGTTTCCTCCGCTGCCTCCGTCTTAGCGCCACCTGGCGTCGCTCCAAGTCAGTGATTTCCATTTCAATCGAAGCAGCCACGATGGACTCGATCAAACCGATGCCCACAAAGGCCCCGATGGCAATGATGCACACGCAATACGCCGTGAACAGCAATTCCTTGGCCCTGGTGATGTCCGGACTGGTGATCACTTCCTGGATGATCTTGTTGACCCTCTCCAGCATGAGGAAGTAGAAGACCGTGCCGGTGGTCGTCACTGGGTTGCCAAAGTGGCTGGGGCTGACGTCGGCAAACAGGACACTGCCAATCACGGCCATGATGGTGATGCCGAGCAGCATGAGGAGCAAGTGGTCCAGAAGGGCTTTAGCTGCCTTCCGAAGACCCCGGACTGTGCATTCAGTCACTGTGAAAAATCTGATCGAATAAACCCAGATTGTAACCAAGCAAAAATTAATTATCTGTAAAATAAATCGAGGTACTTTCCTGTTATCTCTGTACCTTCCCTCTGACCAATGTAACCTGACCTAACCTAACTTCACGTAACCACCTCCCAAAATCAGTTTCTGCTTTCTTTGCGTTTCTGCTGAAACTGATTTAGGTAAAGTTATGTTAGGTCAGATTATGTTAATTAAAATATATTTGTAACTAACATAACCTGACCAAAGCTAACTTTACCTAGCCACCTCCCAAAATCAGTTTCAGCAGAATGCAGAAAAATAAAATTCACAGTTTATGGTAGGTCGTTGTGATTATGAACTTGTCCTAAAGATTTGTCTGGATGGTAGTGCGGTCTAGGAATGGGGTACAGAGATAACAGGAAAGTACCTAAATCAAGATCATGCAGTTGATATGATCCTGTCTATACATTGCAACCTTGTTACAATTATATCCTGGAAATGGAAATGGACCTTTGAAAAAATTCTTTGTGCAGTGAAAAATTCGTTATGACGAGACTCATCCTTCATTAAAAATGTATTCAAAAATAATGTCCGAGGAAACAGGTGCTAATCGATTTAAGGTACAGCATTAGAATTTCCCGCATGTCCATCTTTTCATGAAATACTCCAAAAGATTATTTAAATTGTGAAATACAGTTGCATTATCTTATATATACAATGCCATTCCCACATTTTCCAGAATTATTTGCCTGAAGTATTTGCTGAAACAAACAGAAAATACGAGTGTGAGAAGAGCATTTGTTCTTCAAGACCTGGATCTTACCTGAAATATAGATGAACAGTATGTCCTTGCAAATGTTTTTTGCTTTTAAAAAATTCGCCATTTCTATATTTTTCAATATAAAGCTAATTTAATTTTAATCAGAGCTCCATACTTCTTGCAATTCTGAATTTACTTTACAAAAAATAAGCAATTATATTTGTTTAAGGCTTTTCAAGTAAGCAGAAGTTCGGTTTTCTCAGGTTGTGCCAATTATTAAAACTGTCTATGGCCTACTCACGCATTATCAAAGCAAAAATTCATGAAGCAAAAATATTTTTTAAAGAAAAAATTAGCTTGTTTTATGAAATTTTTATAGCACTTTCCGTATGAAGAAACTGCCATGAATGAGAAAACATTCTGTATAATGAAAAATTTATGATAACTAAGTTCGTCATTATTCTGGTAGAATTTCACTATAGAACAGTTGAGTTTTTGATGCCAACGAGAGGACAGTGACATCTGTTTGGCGTTTGGAAAGTTGCAAAGCAACAGCGTAATAAAAAATAGGCTTAGCTGTCGCTTCTAAAATCTCAGAATCAATGGAGCACTCACGAGAACGTATTGATGATCCTGAACGAAAGGAAAGCTCCTTTGAGGTTCAACAACTGGTAATCATTCAGCCAGAACAAAATGTACTTTGTCAAGTGTGGTACCAGGAACAAGGTCAACGACATGCAGTCAAACCGCAAAGTGATGTCCTTCGAAACGGCCCCAGTTGAATTAAAATAAAAACATTCAAAATTAATGAATGCATGGGATGACAAATGCACTCACCGTGAATATGACGTCAGGGTAGCAATACGTAGATGCAAGGATGTTTATGACAAGGGGCAGCAAAAAGAAGGAAAATAATTCTCTGGTGGTAGTTAATGATAGTCCTACTGAATCAATTTCAGTGTCAAATTCTCCATACGAACGCGCGGCATTGTATATCACGGTTGCAAGGGTTGCAAGCACCGAAAGATGAATCCACATTCTGCAAAGAGAAGGGCGACATCTATGAGGAGCATGAAGGTTGATGACAGAAGCTCTCTCAAGAGTGTAAGCAACAGCAGTAATGAATGATAAAATTGATAATTAAAGGTCGGGAGGGGGGGGGGGCAGCATTCAATAAACATAATTTAATCTCAAAAATAGAATCATAGGCAGAAATTTTACAGTCTGAAACTAATATTAAATGTTACTTCCTCTCATCCTGAGAAACCTGTCAATATTTTCGCATACATGAAAGACAAAGAAAGCATGAATTTATTTTCATGTCTTGCACAGTACAGTACAGGCCGGGATTGCATTTTGGAATGAACCAACAAGCAGTCAGAAATTGTTTCGGAATGCAATTTCAAAAAGCAAATACCTCTCAGCATTCCAGCTATTTTTTCAAAAACCGGATATAAAATTTAGAAAGGAATTGTGCAGAATTTTCTCTTCTAAAACTACCAATTTTCTCAATAAATTTTTTCTTTCACTGGCGTATGACCAATATGATTGTTGCAAAAGTACCGTATTCCTTCAGTGTAGACATGTGAAAATGTATCTTCCATGATGATAACACCCCAGTTTTCAGACTTTTCACACGAGAGCAAGGCTCAATATTTGAGAATTGAAAAAAGACAAATTGTTAGTTTATGCAGCTGAACACATTAAAGACACCCCGCAATAACCCATCAAAATCAGTTACCTCCACTTTCCTTCGAGAAAAAAATCCCTTAATTTCAATAGCACTGGAAACCCAATTAAAATAACATCCAAAAAATTTTTAAGACTAGAATTCTCCTCTTGTTGATTATTTTGTCTTTGATAGCCCACCAAACAAGACCAAGTTTCTCCAAGAGGTCTCCAATTGAAAAATGAAAACATAAAAGACTAAAAAGCACAAAAAAATTTAGTAGATTAAAAAATTAATCTAAAAAACCATGTTTTCAAAAAGCAAAAAATAACCTTAAACCTGGTGCGCATCTATTTCATTTGTATTTCACTTCTTCCCAACAATCTCCATGCGCACCACGTTTAAGGTTATTTTTTGCTTTTTGAAAACTTGGTTTTTTAGATTAATTTTTTAATCTACTAAATTTTTTTGTGCTCTTTAGTCTTACTTAAAAAACGTGGTTTTTTAGATTAATTTTTTAATCTACTATAATTATTTTATTCTTTTTAAAAAATATTCTTAAAATTAATTTTTTTCACAAAAGATTGCATTGTCATCAGTTTCTAGGCTATCCTGAAAGTTTCAGCTTGATAGCTAGTCGGGAAGTGAGTGAAATTTGAGTTTCAAAATTTGATCCGGACAAACAAACAGACAAGAAAGTGAGTTAATAATTAATCAGAAAAAAAATGTTCCAGGGGGTGGGATTGAACTTGGACCTCTGCGACCAATTCAGTTCACCATGGGTTTTTTTCTTGGGGCCAAGGAAAACCTGCTCAAAGTTTTATTATAGAAATCTACTATAATTATTTTATTCTTTTTAAAAAATATTCTTAAAATTAATTTTTTCACAAAAGATTGCATTGTCATCAGTTTCTAAGCTATCCTGAAAGTTTCAGCTTGCTAGCTAGTCTGGAAGTGAGTGAAATTTGAGTTTCAAAATTTGATCCGGACAAACAGACAGACAGACAAGAAAGTGAGTTCATAAAAACGTGGTAAAAAAAAAATGACATGATCAACTTCTTGGGAACATTATCTATGCATATTTTATGCATCCCAGGGATACTTGGATTGCTTTTGAAAATACAGTAATACTTCGAAAATTGTATTTCCTATTATAATTCTGATTTATATCATTTTAGCTTTATTGATGAACCACATTATACCGATAAAAAACTCGAAAAAAATGGCGGTTTATTTTGGGGTTGGAGCGACAGATATATATACTGAAGTGAAAGGAGAATTGGTTTTATTTGAATTTATTTTCGATGCATCTTTTATGCGATTTAAGGACACAAAAAATATAGGAAAATGTGCTTGACAAATTGGAACTTGAACATGACACCCACTTTTTGATCCCCATTTTTTGAGGGAAAATACGCACCCGGCTCTTGATTGAATGCGGTAAGAACCATTTCACACGTTATTGAAGCATTGCAAAAATTAAGATTTTTTTAATCATTCAAAACCTGAGGAAACTGCTGGAAAGAATGTTGGCGATGATCCATTTCCTGTACTCCTCCTTCAGCCTACACTTGACAGGCATGTCGACAACTTGATAGAAATTGGTCGTCCTCAAGTACGAGCTTTCCTGCAATAAGTACTGAGGAATGGCGCCCTTGACCAGCAGTCTCGCGTGAACAGACGGTTCCTTGCTGCTGATCTTTGACCCAGAGTTCATGGAGCGCCACACGGCGGGTGACCTGGCAGAACTGGAACCCCGTTGCGCGAATTTAGCGACATCTATCCGAGAAGACGCAGTTGACACAGTGTTCCAACGGAATCGTGGGCGATGATGCGAGCCTCGACGCGAAATGGACGATCGCTTCCCGAGTTGGATTTTCGACTGTGGTCGTGACAAATTTTCGCCAGGCATGGTTTTTTTTTTTTTTTCGTGTGATTTCAACTTCCAACCTGCTGATGATGATCTCTCGAAAAGGAGACGGAAATTCAGGTGAAATCGAGAGCTCTGAAGGTCGATCAGGAAAATCGAAGAAAAGAGGCCATAGAAAGCACACAGATTTTTTTTAAACCTACTTTCTCTACCTAGATGTCACCTTAATCGCGGGACGCTTGAATTTCATAGAAGTTTATTGAGGCTCGCGATTCAAGCGACATCTGTATCGCGAATCAGACATTGAATTGGGTGTTTAAGCAAAAACCAGCGCTAGATACGAAAAAAATTCTTTAAAATTTAAAAAATTGAGTAAACATCAAGGCAGCGGATGTTAGTATAGGAAACCAATTATATTTCACAAAATTTTGCATCAAATTCTTCCCCTTTTTCTCCGCTCATTCTTGGGTCAGCAACAGCGAAATTGCTATTTTCGAAACATTAACAAAAATGCATGCACACATCAAGCTGCAGTTCAGCACATTTCCACGAGTATAACGGATGTCGTCTTTTTTTTTTACAAAAAACAAACAGAACAAAATGATTGAAACGAGATCCAGTTTTACAATTTCATCGTGATAAAACATTGAGCAATGAATCGATGACAACGGGGGAAAAAATCCTCGCCTCTTTTTTTTCTCTTTCTCATCGCATTCCTCTTTCATCTTTTGTTGGAAATTTTCTTTCGTTGGCGAATTTTTTTTGACAGTTTTCAGCCGTTTTGTAGAAATAATAACAAGCACGAGTGTTGTGCAAAACACGTTTTGGAAGCAGGTAAAGCTTTCGAATCCATATCAACTAGATTCTCTGAGCAACAAAACGCCCATTTCAACGGATCTGTACATCTTTGTTTTTTCTTTTCCCCTTTTCGACTCCACAATCGTAAAAAACAACATAAGATTCAAAGTTTCGGATTTTTTCGTCCTTTTAATGAAAGCCGCAAAACGTTGAGCTCGATTTTTTTTTTTTTTTTTTGTGGATTTTGCACAAGAAATGCATCATTGAAACAAACCGGATGGAAAGATGAGTTCAGACTATAGTGCCTTTTTCGAGACGCAGTCTCGCAGGACGTTTTCTTCGACTCGAATTTTCTTTCTCGCATCATCCAAAAGAAAAGAATGTTGAAAAACTTTCCGCATCAATTAGAAACGCGATGCCGGTTAAAAAAAATCCACCGAACTTCCAAACTTGGAGCAGTTCACAAATAAAGAAAAAATAAGTCATCAATCATTTTTTTTTGCCGGTGAAATCTGGTCAATATTTTCACAAATTTTCACATTACTGATTAAGAAACTTTGATCTCGTTATGACTGCAGTTGACGTTGAGATATAACCAGAAGATATTGGAATTAGGTCCATTGTTAATTTTCCTAGAATTAATTAAAACCCACATCATGACAATGTAATTAATTTTTGTGATGACTCAGGAATTTTCACCTTCGTTCACATTGATGATAAATTCATTTTCCTTGCAAGTTTATTAGGAAAATATCTCCCATTCCCATCCCCAAAGATTGAAATGTATACGTCAAACTGTGCAGAATTTTGTGCCAAAGAATTTTATTTTTCCGAACAATAATCGTTTTTCAGCTCAATCATATGCCGTTTCAATTTATATCCTGAGAACTTTTGTTTGACCCCTCGTATATTTCATGTCCCTGCAAGTTTAATAAAGTATTCGCTTAAAAAAGTAAAAAGATTCATCCAACTTTGATGATTACTTCCATGAGAGATTCATAAAATTGTACATGATACCCTTTTTGCGAATAAAAAATTGCGTTGGCGTGACTTTTTTCGCCAAAACAGAAAGAAAAGCCGACGCCGTCTTTTATTTTATGTTATTTTCATGTAAGTTTAATGCGTCATTTGTTTAAAAAAAAAACACAAGTTTCATCCAACATAGACGATTATTTTCAGCAAGAAAGATTCAAAAAATTGTGCAAAACACCCTTTGAGAGTTAATAAAAAAAATTGCGTTTGCGCGACTTTCCAAAAGAAAATCCGACGCCGTCTTCTGCAGAAATTATTATTATTTTTTTGAGACAAGAAAACCTCCTCAGATATTAAAAGAGACGGATTTCTTTGGCCGCTTCCGACCCAGTGTCATAGTGGCGGCCGACCTGCAGACGACGGCGTCGTTGCCCGCGCCTACGCGGGCAGGCGTCTGTCACAAGATGACGTCGGGCGGCGCGACGCCGCCGATAGCCGGCGCCGCCAGGGACACGACGGCCGCCACGGCGCCGTCGCGAAGGTAGTGTTGCTGCTCGGCGGCGCCCACGCCGCCAGCGCCGCCTTCCATGCCCTCCGGCGGTGCTCGGATCCCGTTGGAGTGCTGGTGCTGGTGGAGCCACTCTGGTCGCAGTTCCTCCAGCTTGTTTTTCTGCAGAGGATGTTGCTGTTGTTGTTGTTGCTGCTGCTGCTGCTGTTGATGGTGTGTCGGTGGGGACGAGGAAGACGACACTGTGCTGATTATTGGCGCCATGAGAACGCAATTCTGCTGCGGTTGCTGGTGCTGCAGTTGGTGCTGTTCTTCTTTGATGGTCCGCAGCAAATGTCTGTCGAGTGTTTGCGTCTATATGCAAGAAAGTAAAATAAATTAAATACCTTGCATACAATGTCGGACAAATTTACATTCAAGAGTTCGACAAAAAAAATATTAATTGATTTTTTCTAATGTCCTGTCAAAATATTCCCAATATGACTGCACATATTCAAGTGTGAAGCGCATCTGAAATGTTAAAACAATTTTTTTAAATCTTATCTTTTATGACGTGCACCCCCGTAATTTTCACCTTCTCAATTTGGAGAAAAGAAAAAAAGGTGCACTTGGTACTTGAGTAAATACGGTTACAGTATTAAGAAAACGAATGGAGACTCACCTTGTAAGTTATACAAAGACGGAATTGAAGGTATCTCAAAAGAATTCAAAATTAAACCCGCAGTAATGAACTATTGAATGAAACACAGCACGCCGCCGGGGAACTCGGCAGGGAGATTCTCGGTAGAATCTCCAAAGAATAAAAGATGTAATAAATATATTTCAATCTTGACAAGATGTTCAGAATTTTAGGATTTCGAAGTTCTTCACACTCAAAAAAAATGCAAGTTCCAAGACAACCGAACGCTTTGAAGTTTTGATGAACAGTGCGCAAAATTAAAAGAATTGTTCTTCTTGTTTAGAGGGATTGCGAAATGGGAAATGATTTCCCACTGCTGCGCAACATTCCTTAGATTCCAGATTTCTTGTTCCCATTTTAGACTGCATTCCTCCGTTAATTCATTCTACCTGTGTCCTATACACACCTGGAAAGAACTGAGCTGGACCACGGGCCTGATGGCACCATAGTCCTCCAGCTGGTGATGCCCGAACAAAGACCCAGCACCGCCGTGCAGCTGCTGCATCGGTGGCATATTATGAAACGCTGGCAGCATGACCTGCTGCTGCTGCTGTTGCTGCTGCAGGTGAGGATGATGCAACAATGCATACTGCTGCTGCTGATGATGCTGCTGCTGCTGCTGCTGCTGCAGGCCTTCGTCGCCTGCTGCATGCTGCAGCCCTCGCATGCTGGTCAGGAACTTCTCCTGCTGCAGGGCCATGTGCAGGGCATCGTGGATGAAGGCGTACTGGTCGTCGTCCTGCAGCAGGAGCGGGTCGGCGTGTCGCAGGTACTTGCAGAACGCCATGACACTCATGGCGCCCGTCGCTGCCACTTGTCGCAGCAGGGCGCAGAGGGCCACGAAGGACCCTGCTGCCTGACTTGCCCCTGGGCTGCAAATATGTATAGATAATCATTATTTCTGTCTTTCTTTTCTTTTTCTTCAAAACACAGTACAGTACTCTATTTGTATACTGTATATGCCGCGATTTTACTTTTTATTGAGCAGAAAAAAACATCGGGTTCAGCCTGTTGTGGATTAATTTCAATTCGAAATGTATACAGAATAATATCGCAAAAAATAACATCTCTTTCGTGAAATCTCTTCATATACTTGAGTACCATGTGCCATCAATCAAGATGTGCACTTTAATTGGTTAGCCTGAGATTAGAAATAAAGGTCTATCATCACAGAGTATAAGAGTAACATGCTTCACATTCTTACAACTGAAAAATTGTAATATTTCGACGAAAAAAACGCATAAGAGAGCTTGAATTTCAACTCCAATTTAACTTGAGTTCAATTAATTTTTAATATTCCTATTTAAGAAATTTTATTGTTCAAAAGGAATACACATTTTCCATAGAATAAAATATGACGTACATCTGAACCACGAAATTGTTGAAACATCTTATAAATGTCTATGACATTCCATTTATCCTATCCATTTTGAAAAAATGTTCACAGGGAATAAAGTAAACTGAACTCAGTAATAATTTCCTTATACAATAATCTTATTCGTTTCCTTCGCTTCGTCAGGAATCACGATTTCAAAAATACAGTGTCATACACATACATTTGACTTGAAATCTGCTTTAAAATTGCAGCCGAAGATTACAATAGTGAACAAAAAATACTAACCTATTGAAGGTTGCACGTAAAATCTTCAAAAAATGATTCATAGAGATTTCATCAACTAGGAAAGCTCAAAGATTCTTTATTCACTTAGGAATTTTCGAAAATATATCCAACCATTGCCTGTTTTTTTTATCCCTGTTTTGACTCAACACCAAGCATTTTTTCAGAATTTAAACATCTTTCTTGAATTTCAAAATGTTCCTGACACGTAATTTGAGAGAAGAATATTCGCATTCAACCCTCACAACCAGGCAGAGAAAAGTTTTTTGAAAATCGTCTCTGGCAAAACTTAAAATGGGAAAGTATTCGAAATGCCGATAGCGTCTTCTGTCCAACTTCAACATTAAGGAAGGAAAATTGACTAGAATAAAAAAAAATAAAAAAAAACCTTTGCAAAAAGTACCTGCAATGGATGACAGTGGGTCCACTCAAGCTCAGCACTGCGTGCAAAGACCGCACCACGAACTTGGCAAACCGCGAAGACAAATCGTGGTCCGAGTCGCACAAATTGAAGCGCCAAATTTCCAAATACTTTTGCTCGGGTTGTGGCGGCGGATGCAAACTGCCGCCGCCGCTTTCTTCGTCCGCCGCCGCCCCGAAACAAACGGACGCCCCCTCGTTCGAAGAAGACCTGCACACGAAAACACGGCGGCTCCACGAAGAGCCTTCTTCCTCTTCTTCGCTGATTTTCTCCCAACACAAGCTGTTGCGGTGATGATGATGGTGCTGGTGATGGTGTTGCCCGTGATGATGGGACTTTCCAGACGAGTCAGAGGAAGAGTTTGTGACATGAGGCATGGGTCTGCCTCTCAGGGCTTCTGCCAACTCCTGCTCGTCATCCTGAGCAGAAATAGCATAAACAAAATTTTTTTTTCAGCACAGTTGAACCTTGAAAACTCGAACCTTCCCAAGCCAATTTTTTTCAAGTTCCCACCTGAATACCTCATAGAGGCAATGTATTAAAAGCCTCTCTAACTCCAGGGTGCATGCATACATATCAGTTGTGCAGTTGTATTTTGCGGAATGTATTTTCTTTTATTTTTATTTTTTTTGTCCATAGGCATATAATTTCTCTGTTTCCCATTCTGAAGTGATTGAATGTTTTTGAATGGATTTGGGTTGGGTGGGAAGGGGAGGGGATTTGGATGTGGGAATGTTGATTGAACCTTGTGAATGCTGAAAAGTGGAAAAAAAGCTTTCCGTTCATTCATTCATTCAACTCCAGCCCAGAAAATAATTGGGTGTAGCAAAACGTGTGGCAAATGCATTTCACACACCCAGCAGCTGCCATGCGTAGCATGCGACACCTACTCAGAACTTCTGCTACACATGGCAGCTAGGCATTTCAATACGCCCACCCTAACAACTGTTGTTGCAGTTACTACAGTGACAGTTATCGTCATGACAGTAACTGTTATTGTGGCAACTGTGCTGACACAAATTTAATTGAATTTCTGTGTAGGGCTCATTTAGAGCTTCAAAATGCACTGAAATAAGTTGAATTTATCATTTTTCAAGGTTTGACAGCAATTTTCACTTAAAGGAAAAATGGCTGTAGAACCCTCATATAAAATGGGAGGAAAAGCATTATTTTTTCCCCTCCAAAACATCCATAAACTCATTTTTCTGAGGCCTTTTGACTATTACGTATTTTCTTGACACAAAAAGATAAAAGCGAAAAAGGAGGCATTTTGAAAAGAAGTGAAAGAATAATTTGAAGCATTAACCCCTGCTGTCAACTCACTTTGAAGATGCAATTTAAGGCCCACAATATAACAAGTTACAATTTCCTGTAATTCCTCTAACATAACAAATCATTTTTCCATATATCTTGAAACCTAATCAACTAGAAACTTCCTTAACTCGATTTCTTTTTTGATGATCTCTTTCAATTATACTAGCTTCGAGGGGTTCCACTCCAAAGTGGGCCAAGAATGCCAGTAAAAAGAGTCACTTATTCATGGCTCATTTTTTCCCGAGTCTCTGATACTTTGCTTCCGTAAAAAAAAAAAAAAAAAAACCGATTCCCCTATAGATTCTCACTGCGCTTCATACCATGAAATTATTTTAAGTTCCTTTCTAAATAGGTTTCAAAAACACTGTGGAATCCTGGCACTTACAGACATATTTCAACACCTGGGCAATTGAGCATTCTGACATTTTAAAGCCTCCTGGCGTCCAAATATTTACTCAAGCTGCAGCCGGTACACCAGTTAAAATTATCCCCGTGAAACAATGTGTATGTGGGAAATTATTTTTGACATCCAGAAATTTCATAATCTAAATTGCGTCCATTGCGTCGAAAGCATTGGATCACTGCGTAAATCGGGATCAATTATAAACTTTGAATATTTCAAGAGGATCTCATGAAAAATTTCAGGGACAAAGTGAAATTCTGTCATATAATCTGTTCCCCTGTTCGTGGTTATCGAAGGATGACCCAGGACTACCCAGGAGCTGATTCAAATTTTTAGGAATATGGTAGAATGCTTTCATGTGAGTCAATAAAGGAAATCCCCGAAGTTAAATCTTCACCTGAACGAAATTCAACACTTTTTCTGCAAAAAAGGGAATTTTTTACGAAAGTTTTTCCTCCATCAAGCCGTCATTGATAATTATCAACATTTTATCCTGGGCAAATGAAACGGTGATTTTGAAAGTTTCTGAAATTATTCTTCCAGCTTGGTCAATTTCTTTCCCAGAAAACATTCATGGGGGATACATTTGTAAAAAATGCCACCCAATTTTTTAGATATGCCCAGCAATTAAGCTGGAAAACTGAAAACCATTCGGGTTTTTTCTTGCAAAAATTTCTGACAACTCTGCACAACTCAGATGAAACTTATGAATGTACTGTATATGCATTTTTTTCTTTTTGAAAAAAGAGTAAGAAAATCGTGAAATCTCACAATGAACTCGTCGGCAGCTACTTTGAACTGGACAACCAGACTGGCAGCGACAGTGTCGACCAGGGCCCAGAACGCCGCGTCGGACGGGACGTAGGATGCGGAAGCAGACGGAACAGCTGGGCGAGGGATCACCAAGAACCCCTGCTTTTCACGCCACCCGTCCAGGTAGACCCCCTTGTACCGCTTCCGGCCTCGCTTGTTGCCGGATCTGGACCCAGACTTGCTGCCACTGCCCGTGCTTCCGCTTCCGCTTCCACTGTTGAGTTCTGGTTTATATGGGGGAATGAATATAATGGTGATGATGGGCTCATATGGTCGAAGGTTTTAAAAACTTCAAAAATATTTTTCCTCTCACAGAACTGGGACAACCCCTTAATACGAGGGTTCTAACAAAAGTTCTCGGAATGGAAATGAAAATGGCGTCTAATCCAGCTGAAAAAAATTATTATTTAGGGAAAACATATTCTTTGGCACACAAGAAAATTAGCCCGGTTTGACAAATTTTTAATGTTTTGCAAAATTCACCCTGACAACGTGGTTGTGCCAATGTGGCGTCTGTGAAGGCGGCCGTTGATGAAAATGGCGGAATTACCTTGGAAGACCTGGAGGCATCCCTTGGAATTAATGCCAGGTTGATTTCAAAAATTCTGAGGGAAACGCTAGGCTACCAAAAAAGAAAAACTGCAGGAAGGGCGCCTCATCTATTAAGTGGATAGCAAAACTCTGCCAGGGTGAATTTTGCAAAACATTAAAAAAAAGTTGTCAAACAGGGTTGATTTTTTGTTTGTGCCAAAGAATATTTTTTTCCTACAGAATAAATTATTTTTCAGCTTGATTGGACGCCATTTTCATTTCCATTCCGAGAACTTGTGTTAGAACCCTCGTATATACGCAACATACCTAAAACACTGCGACACGGATTCGCTCCAGCTTTGATGGTCTGAAACTCGGCTTTCAACGCAGCATTGCCCTCAGTTCGCAGGTTATGAATGTGATTCGACAAGCTGGCAACACTGAGCAGCGGAGTGTTGCCAGCATTATTATCATTCCCAGATGGAGACGATGAGGACTTTCCGTTGCTGGAAGTGCTGTTTCCGTTGGAAGCCTGTTGATCACCCCACCAGTCATCAGGCATTGGACTGTATCTAATCAAGGGCTGTCTGCGTTGACTTTGTTTCCCGGAAGTTCGTCGGAAATACCTCCTGTAATTTGAGAAAAAAAAAGAAAGAGAAACATCAGTCAAATATTTTACAAGAAAAACTTGAAAAAGGGTATTTTCCCAATTATTAAACGTGCGTAGACTCATGACTTGAATATTAACCAACATGAACATGTTTTCAAGATTAAAAAAATCTTTATTTCGCTTGTTACAGGCTCGTTCCCTCCAATTAAAATTTCTGCGTATGAAAGCCAAGGTATGAACAATTGCCTGAATTAATTTCTTTGCATCAAGACCAGAATAAAAATCTGAAGGATATACTGTATAAACAAAAAACACAAGAAACAGCCAGGGATCCGCCAGGAATTTCTGATAGAATTTCAAATTAGTTTATTTCAAGAATAGTCCCAACAAGTCTTGATCACACAAAATAAAATCTTTCATCAACATCTCCTGATTGCAAGTAACTGATTTTTACAAAGACTTTGGCCAGACTGAATAAGGTGTTGCAAGAAAAGAGACATTTCAATAATTTTATGTACTGACGTACATGAGAAAGATCATATAATTTTTCATGCCTTTCATTGGCTGAGAAAATTGAAATTGAACACATTTTTGCACCAGTGCAAACATGCAAATTTGGGAAGAGGAGAAAATTCTTGATTCCCAGTTTTTCACTGTGAGCTAATTTTTCTAACTTTGTTACTTCTTATCTCAACTAACAAGGAACAGCAAAAGTCCAAAACAATTATGATAATAATTCTTGAATAGCAGAGGATTCCTTTCCATCACACAGCAGAGAGGATTTTTCCTTGGGAGACAAATTTCAGTTTTACCAAAGGTGACTAAAATGCTCCTGTGTTGTAACAGCCTAATTTGGGGAAAATGTGAGTGAAGAATTTCTTATCGGTTTGAGAAATCCCCAATGTTAATCCTATGCAAGGAATTCATGAAAGAAATGCAAACCAGTGAAGAATTTTATATTCATCTCCAGACAAACTTTTCTGCTGGATTATACAAAATTCAGACTAGGCTTGCTACAAAAGTGCAATTTTTATTTTGAGTGCTCATGGGCATAAAAGTTTTAAAAAATACCTTGACTTTGCGACAAAATGGTTAAAAATGAGCAGGTGAAGGCATTAGTCTTTCTTCCTGTTTTGTGCAGCAATAGTGTACACCATTCTTGGAAATGCCCTTGTATCTTAAAACCCAGGTTTTTTTGTTGTTGTTGTTAATGATCATCAATCGAAACCACTGCTCATCACCTGTACATGAATGCCGATATGGTGAGAAGAACAAGCATGATTGAAGAGCAGACAACAGCACCGATGAGCAGCATGAGAGTCATCTTGGAGGCATTGGCGAGTTGCGCCCGGGCCGACAGAGATGTCGTTGCCGTCGACGAGGAACCGACTCGAGCCCCGAGACTGCGAGAGGACCGACAAGGCGCGACTCGGGCGCCACTGTCTGACCTGACAGTCGACGATGTCGAGGATGACGTCGACGGCGGCGGAAGGTCGTCGATGCTCCGCTCGACAGCGGCGCCGAATCGGACTCGATCCGAATGTGGCGGGCTTTTGGCGGCTGCTTTTATCACCACGCGTTCCATGTATGGCAGGGATAAGTTCCTCAACATCAGCTGAAATGTAATACGAAAATTGTAGAAAAAAATACTAGTTCAAATTTTGAGGCACGGCTAAATGGAGAATGAATGTCACTCTATGGACCACATTCAGATTGTCTGTTCAGTTGGACTGGCTGTAATAATACAGTACTGAACAAACCATCGTACTTTTCTATTCTTTCTTCACGAACGTCCTTTAATGCTAAAATCATGTTTCTTCTCTTGCCCTGAACCGGGATTGCATTTGAAAGTGTTCGTAGTATATCACGAAATGCGTTAAAATGCAAATGATGTTCTGAACCGATGACCTGCGCTTCTCAGAACATGAAAATGTTTTTCAATCTTTTCCGGAATAACTTCTCAAAATCAAGACATTCCACAGGCTATCCAATAATATAGATATTACTTCTTCTTATATTGTCTACGGTGAAATTCGCAAAAGGTACGTTAGCATCTTTTTCAGGTACTGTACTGAAATACGAGGGTCACTAGTTAAGTTTCTGCGCGCATGCCCTGACATTCAATCATTATTCTTTCAATTTTTTCCTCGTGAAGCATATTTTTCAGCGTCAATGTTTAAAATTCGAAAACAACGCGGATTTTTTTTGGTTTGGAACATCGAAGAAAATTTCAAAATGCATTAGCCAAGAAGAAAATGTTCCGATGCTTATTTTTCATTTTTGCCACTCACTCAATTTTGAAGTGCAATGATTTTCGAAAAATGCATCATTATTTATCCTTTTTGAAATGTACAATAGGAAAAGTACTTTCTATATGTTGGCATAATTTGAAATGTTTGATGCAGTTTTCAAGATCAATGACCACACGAAATTAGAGTTACAGAGGTTTCAAGAGTTAAGTTTTCAAGTTATAGAGCTGTAGTTTACAATGCCCTTCAAGGGAATCCAGGCCAGAACTAAGCACAAATTGGCAAAAGGAGCTTTTGACAGGTACAATAAATAAACTATAAACACTATAGACTATACTATACTATTTAGTTTCTAGTATAACGTAACTTGCTTCAAGAAGTTGCCCAGCCCTTGAAATCAGGGTGGGTGGGTGTTTGTCATGAACGTATTTGATGATGCTGACACCTGGCGGTGAACTTAGTTCGTTTTTGTCTATATATAGCGGCCCCTTCATACAATTAAGGATCGAAACAGTAGGGTTTTCAGTCAAGTATAACAAAAGTTCTTGGAATACAAATTGAAACGGCATGTACGAATGAGCTGAAAATAATTATAGCTCAAAAGGAAAATTGTTTGGCTCAAACAAAAATCAGCCTGTTAGGCATATTTTTTTCGGAATATTGAATCCAAGAGCACCCCAACAACTTTCTGCTCTTCAATCAAAAGATTTTTAAAATTTTAGAAGTGCCCATCTTGAATTTTTTTTGTTTAGTCCAGCTTTCCTCTCATAAATCTTGAAATTGACATGGTATTGTATTTCCAAGGGTTATCTCAACTCTTAGAAATTAATGCCTTGTCAATTTCAAGGATTCGGAAGGGAAAGCTGAGGGGTACATCAAAAAGTCTGCGAGATTAGTGCCTAAATTATTGAATGAAGAGCAGAAAGCTGCCAAAATGACTCTTGCAAAAATTCTCTCAAATAAAAAAATGAGTCAAACAGGGCTGAATTATTATTTTTTTTCTCATGGGGCCGAAGACTGTTTCTTCTTCTGGGCAATAATAATTGCTTCAGCTCTACCGTACGTACGCTGTTTTAATTTCCCCTTTTTCGAAACACTTTTGCTATACAGTATAGACCCCCCCGTGAAATATCGACACCAAACCTTGTGCTCGTGGCTGTCGGTGGACGAGGACGCCTTGACCCTGAACTCCTGTTTCAAGCCAGAGCCCGTGTCTTCCACGACGATGTAGAAATGGTCCAGACGAACAGCTGCCGACGGCGGCTGCCGCCAGTGCAAATAAATGCTGCCCAGTTCCGGGTCGCAGGTGAGTTCCAGCAACTCCAGGGGCTCGAGTTCGTCGTCGCCGAGTTGCTGCAGGTGTTTGCGGTTCGAGCCCGGGTCCACGTCCGGTTCTTCCCCCAGGGACCCCACGCCGCCCGCACGCTGCCCCGGAACCGGAGCGGAAGTGTGGACCCAAACTGCGTCCGAAGGATCGCCTTCGTTTTTGTACGTGAACGCCTTCAGCCACACTTTGTATTTGGACGACGGCTCTGTGAAAAAAAAAAAAAAAAAAAGTGCAAAAACACGAGCTCAATTTTTTTTTTTATATATTCTGCCCAATTGCCATCTTGAACCGCATTGAATAATCCGATTTTTCGCCTCTAGAATTTCCAAGGTGCGTATGAAGTTCGCATTTAAAGCCCATATAATTGCTTCTGACGCAATACAAATTCGAAATAAGTATCTATCATTTGAATACAGTATGATGACCCCGACATACGGACGATTCGACTTGTTCTTTGCCTCTTGAGACAATTTTTATGCAAAAAGATCAGATTCTGTGCGGCTTTCTTTGGCGCGCTATTTTCTGCATTTGCATTCAGTTGATAAAATGCTTTATTCATTTTTTGAGAGATTTATTCCTAAATTTTCGATGAACAGGAGAATCAATTAAATAAAATTTTATTGAAGTCTATATAGCTGAAAACGTGATACGGACATTATGTCACATAGTCCAAGCATCAATTCGGTCCGCATTTCGGGGCCCTACTACACATGTACTCTTCACCATCATTTCCGGTTTCCGGCTCAAGAATTACCATCCTAATTTTTACTGGAGGCTCATTTTAAAAAGAGACAGTGTGAGTTGTGAATGGCATCAAACGAAGCATATAATAACAAGCAGAAGATTTTGTGAAAAAAAAACAGGCACTTACGCAGACGATCCAAAACATAATCCACTGATTTAGCAGCAGAAGAAGTATTGTGAATCGATCTGACGTCTGTGAAGTTGTCCCGCATGAAATAGAGTCTGTATCCACGAAGTTCCCCATTTGGAGTTTCCGGGGGTTGCCAGGACAGTTTAACTGAGTCGGAAGTTTCCTTCACCACCAGCACATTCCGAGGTTTCGAAGGCACTGCAAGGAAGGAAAAATAATTTTAAAAAAACGCACAAACAAGCGAACGCAAAATAATTTATTGATCAGACTCTTTCCGCGCTGACGCCGAGTATATGACTCGACGTTTGAGAACTTCCTGGTCGTCACATAAGTGTCACTTCAATTCAATTAGTTCAATATCCTTTGTTATGCAGAATTACAGTTGAACCTGGGTAACTCAAACCTTCCCATGTTGTTTTTTTTTTTTAAAGTCAGCATGTCCTTCAAAAAATAATGCATTAAAACCTCCCTAACTCAAAGGCTTCCCTCCTCAAGCCTCCATAATTCAAAGTTTCTGGAGACCTTTCGGATATTTTTTGGCACAGGAAAAAAAAACAATAAAAATGTAACTAGTTTTATTTTGAAAGGATTGGAAAGACTGTAGTTGGCCAAATAAACCCCTTTGCCTCCAAGTTCAGCATCCTATCATATTATTTAAGAAGCAATTCAAGGACAGAATATCACCAAATATAATTTTTGTGTAATTATTCTTTCTTTTTGCCCCGACACAGATGCTGCTTTCCCTCAACGGAAACCTCCCCATCTCGATTTTTTTTCTTGTTCCTGGAAATTCGACTTGATGATACTTGACTGTCTTTTAAAGCCTGGTTAGTTCAGGTTTAGTTGAAAAAAAATGAAGTTCTGCATATGCAGTAGTACATTTCGAGGGGATTTAAGTTTCACTGTATCAGGTTTTAGTCAGACGTGACACCTGTTCGACTTGCCAAGAAGCAAATTCATACTTCGAGGTTCACATATGCGAAGACAAAAAAAATAATTTGAGACGTGATTTTCCTCCCTGGGGCCAGGACTCATTCAACTCGCAATTGAATGGAGAAAAAAAACCCTCTTCCGAATATGATTGCTAAAATGTTTTTTGCTGCTTATATTGACATCAATCAAAGCGTATGCAACCAGATAAACGAAACAAGCAGACTCTCACTATGTAGGCTTTATTCTAGGAAAAAATCGGGGGCCATTGTTTACTTGCTGCTGACGAAAGTAAACTCCATCAGGAAGCACTTCAGCAGAACAAAGCAGGTTTGATCTCATGTATGAGAACCCATTCGGGGGGGCAAAGCGATTTTACTTGCTTTTATTTTATTTTTTGTAATAAGGTACAAAAGGGAGTGAAAGAAAGTGCGAATTTTATTGTCGCGAGAACACATTTCCAGGAAGAGACAAATGGAGGATTTCGAACAAGTTGTGTCAATATTTGAGACAACATCCAGGAATATTCGAGATTTTAATAGATGTGGTTTTATTTTTCGTTTCAGAAGAAATAAAGAGTGAGAATCCATGATACTTTTCCTGGATCGCTGAAAACAAATTCCAGTTATATTGCCTGAAAAAAAAAAATTTTTTCAGAGCTATACCTCTAATGCTTCGTAACTTTCAACGAACTTTTCATTCCTGAATAAAAAGCCAAAGAAAAAATCCAATGAATCTCTCGTGTCAAGAAACTAATTTAAATTTGAAGCCTTTCCTGCTCTTCTTGGTCGACTTTTGACTTGTCAAACGTCTTTCTCGGCATTCGGAAATACCAGACAAACTTCACATTCAGCGTCAGGGGTGAAACAAACATGATTTCCAAGAAAATCCCCATTATTTATTTTTTCAATTAAAGAGATGAATGCTGCTGCCTCATTGTTTCTGCTCATGTTTAGACGTAACAGTTCGTTGAATCCTGATTAACCAGGGTTTCAATTAGCACGAGGTCTCATCTGCCAGGTAAAAAGGTTTGGGAACCTCCCAGCGCGGTGCCTCAAGCAAAAAAAAAAAGTCGTGACGAACCCATCGCAAGGAAGTTTATTTATTCGAACCCTTTGCTGTTCACGGGGGTAGCAGCAGAAGAACAAAATAAATAAATAAATAAAGAAGAAGAAGAAGAAGAAAGAGTTTGCAGGAGATCATTGCAGAGCAGCAGCAGCAGCAGCAGCAGAAGAGATCCGACGGCGGGAAATAATAGGAGAGAAAACAGGGGAGAAACCTGCGGAAATCCAATTGAACCCACACGAGGCGGGGAGGTTTACGCAGTCGACGTCGACCACTAAAGGAATGCGTCGTAAGGATATGGTGGCGGGGTATCGGGTTTTTTGGGGTTTGGGGATCCGCCGCGATACCAGAGAGAGGCCCCTCCGCGATCCTTCCGCCTCAGGTGTTTATTCAACCTTTTTCTTACCCTGGAGCAAGATCCCCGTCCCCCCCTCTGCATGCTGGGCTACGTGTATATACTATCTTTGAGAACAGGGTAACGCATAGAACACTTGCTCGTGCGAGAACAATAACCAGAATATCGGCCTAGGTTCCACAGGCTGCAGCCTTCATTCTCTAGAATTATTCAGATTCACACAGAAAATTATTAAATAAAAATAACAGTCGTACTCTATGTACAATTAAATTCATAGAACAAGAAAAACTGCATTGTAGAGAGATGGTTGTTGTAAAGAACCCCTATGTAAAATGGGGAGAACCACATGGAACCAACAAATAGGCCAAGCCAAATGAAATAATTGGTTCAATTGAAATATCAGGAGTACTGTTCTTGAAACTCAGGCAGACAAAAAAGAGCTCTGATTATAAGCATGGTGGAAATAATTGTCTGCAAATAAAACTAACACTGTAATTCATTATTCCTATGGATAATTTCCTCCAACTCTTTCTGCTTGCAAATATGACAAAAAATGAAAAAAATAACATGATTCATAACCAGTACGAGTCAGGGATCTGCATCCTTTATTCGTGGAATACATTTTGCAGTAAAAAGTTGCTGATGAGTTGAAACAATTATTCATAAATCAAATTCATGCTTGAAAAAAGAATTTGCATTTTTTAAGTCACTTTTTGCACCAGAAGCTTGTGTATCAGCAAGATAAGAATCTTGGGTGAAGGTTTGCCAGATTCATATCATCAAAGAAAAAGTTAGGTTTTGAAAAGTGAGAGTATCTCAAGATCATCTGAATTAACTTTTATATGATTACAGAAAAGTTGAGGAACATCTTTAGCTCTAAATATGTTGAAGCTGAAGACCTTGCGCTTTAGATAAACTTTTACTGCTAATTTGTTTTCAATGTCAGGAAATGGGTAAGCTGTATGCAAACGTGTCAGATGTCCAGCTTTATTTTGTGGAATGTGTTCTTTTTTGTTTTTGTCATCAATTTGTGCTTTGTTTCCTGCTTTGAAGTGATTGAATGTCTTTGAGGGGATTTGGGTTGGGTGGGGAGGGGGTTTGGATGTGTGAGTCTTGGTTGTGCCTTGTGAATGCTGAAAAGCGGCAAATAAAATGCTCTGTTCATTCATTCATAATTATGTGAATTCTAGCAGATTTTTGTAAGTATAAAATTGGAGGAGGTATATGCTTTGTTCTTTGGCTTGTCTGGAGTTGCATCATATGCAATGCAATTTCTTTTGATGATTTTATTCTATTTTGGAAGCAAGCTTTTATTTCACCATGCAAGATTGTATTTGCTAATTGTGTGTGTGATTTTTGCTTTCATGAAATCCGTGATGAGACAATAATAGTCCTCTTATAGCATCCAAGGAGTGAGGATGCTCCAGCTTTCTTTATTCTTGAAACCATAAATGTAGTTTCTGCACTTAAAATTAAAAAAATTGCTTTGAGGCTGCATAATTGCCTCAGCACTGAGATGTCTCTTGCATTTGGATGTGTTTTTTAATTAGTTTAAAATCTGTAATAAACAATTGCGCATTATTCCCTATATGTAGTTCTTAGTACTTGCAGCATTATATTTGGACAAATTTCAATTTTCAGCTGACAATAAAAACACTTTATTGTCATGGAAAAGGTGGCCATTTTCACGGACGAAGTGGCCGGAAGCTGAATCTCTGGTTCTCCAGATACCCTCCTTTTCTCGCTAGATCTTCCCTCTACTTATATATATAGTAGTTACTTTTTATCCTCTTTTCCGACGAGCAAGACATGAGAAACTGTCTCCATAAGAAGAAAAGAAGGGAATACACGAACAAAAAGTAGGAAGACGTTCTCGTTTTCCGCCAGCCAAAATTTTAATATTGTTTTTTCTCCGAGTTCGTGGGAACCGAGCGAGACGAGATGAGGTGGCGGGGAGAGGTGAAACCCAAAGGCCCCCGGGTTGCTTCGCCGCGAGGGGGGGTTCAAATCCAATTAGTTTCTTCTAACCCTCCCGACTGACAGAAAGCCCCTCCATCGCGGGATCAAACAACTTAAATCCCCGTGCAGGGGATAAGGGGAGGGAAGTTTTCATTGGCGAGCATGGGTCTTCTGAAACTGCGACATTCTAACTAACTTACTCATTCCGCCCCCCCCCCCCCAAGTGCGTCACAAAGGGGAACCGCAGCTGGGGAGTGTATAGGAATCTCAGTCATGTATATAAAATCAGACATCTACATGAGAATAGTGAAGAATTCAAAAAAGCTTTCTCCAGCATGGTCTAACCAGTAGGTATTCCCCAACCCTTTTTGGGCCAGCAAAGTTTCTTGAAAATTTTTCAAACCAGCAGACATATTTACCAAATACCTACCAATAATTCCTCCAAATATTACTACAGTAGTATACTGCTAAAAGTAAGTTAAGAACCAATAAAACAGCTATTTATAGTGGAATGTCTTTGCAAAATTTGAAAACTGGACTTCAAGAAAGGTTTCATGGGATAGAAACTTGAAATATTCCATTCTAGCTGGTGAAAATTTGTTTGAAGTGCTATTTTGAGGAAAGCCAACTTTTGTTTTGCATCAGATGATTTTCAGTGCCATTCTCTTTCAAAATTTTGAGATAGGAGATAATATACTTCATTACCATCACTTCTGAGTTTATTGCTGAAGAAAATTTTCTGCAAATGGGCAAAACATTTCTGCCAAGTGAAGACTATAGCTGCACAGTATAACTTCAAGAATTTTCATCGCCAACATTACATTTTGATGCCTATGTATACCGTACATTCATTTTTCACATTTCGAATTGAATTACCAATTTAGGCGATTTTTTTGCAGCAAAAGATTTTACAACCATTACCTGCTTTCAGGAGACAATATTCTCTCCTTTCATTTGATACCGTAGTTGACAAGTTCAATGGACCAAAACTGTGCATAAATTGCACCAAAATTCACAGGTATTTTCTTGAAAGCATCGAACAGCTATTTTCATGAGCAGTGAAGTATAATTATTGCCAAGTGTGAAATAGGAGAATCAGATTATAAAACGTTAAGAAGTTGAGGATGAAAAAAAAAATCTTGTTGTTTCCTTTTGTTAACTGATGGAAGGAAAATCTAGAGTATAAATTGCAGTGGTTTTTTCCCACCAAGGAAGAACCACAACTGAGAAAACCAAGATAAACTGTTATATTTGTGTGAGTTCTCATCAAAGATTCTCTCCAAATTGTTTCATCACTTAAAACCTGTGAGCACGCTGACAATCTTGGGCTTTAAATTGGGTTCATGAATTGCCTTATGCCTAAATTTTTATAATTGATATTTTGCTTTTGTTATCAGGGAGGGGAAGGAAGCCTATGTATTTATATCAGGAGTGCAATTGTACATTTTGGGATGTTTTTTCTTTTCTTGTAATATATAATACAGTATATACAGCTTATTTCTCTATTTTCCATGCCGATGTGTGTGGTGACTGGTGAGGCAGTTTGGGTGTGGGAACATAATTTCTTGAACATTGTGAATGCAGAAAAGCAGAAAATGAAGCTTGCTTTTCAATGCAATTCAAAAAGATGAAGTCTTTCAAGCAACAAAATTTGATCTTTGCCAGCTGATCAAAAATTCATTGAAAACAGTAAAACTTTCTAAGATACACAGGATATTCTTTCCAAACAGTGTCAATACTGCACATCATAAAAAGCTACACTGAAGTACAGTACATACATTGTGAAAATGCCTTTCACAATTAAAAGAAGGTACTGTTCTTCATAATTGTTTATAGTTTTTTCAAATGTACACATCAGTCAAATCAATCCGCTTTTAAATCGAAAATCAAACACGATTTTTATTTAAATTTAATTTTATCTGTGTGGAATATGTTTCAAGTATGCTAGCTCCATCATTTCCAGTCACCATGTAGGATAACCATGCATACCAAAATAATAGAAAACTCAAATCATCAGAAACCTATAATTTCAACCTAATGCCGTAGGTATTCCCTGGTATCAATTTCATAGTAATGTTTTTCCTATGATTTACGTGAATCTTGAACCGATCTATAAAATAATCCTTAGAACACCCAAATCAGCCTAAAATTCAAATCGGGCCAAGTCGTGCTTTTCTGCTTCAGTCAATTTGAGTCTCGCCGATAATCAGCTCAAATACTCTCGCGCGGAATGAAAGCCAAAAATTATTAGAAGCCCTTCCATTATTGTATGCAGCCCAAAAAAAAAAAAATGGAAAGAAAAAAGAAAATGAATCGGTATACTAGAAGGAAGGAATCCTCAGACTGGGACGAAGAAGATGAATTTATCCCCGGCGCGACTCGATTGCCTCAATAAACCTTCTCGGTGCGCGTATTCTTGAAAAGGAAGAGCGGCTTAGATCCGGTTCCTTCTCCACAGAATATATATATTTTTTCTTCATTTTACTTCCTGCACTTTATTTTTTCGTATTTCCTGCCACTGCATTATTCGACGTCGTCAAAGACGCTTGCAAATGCTGTTTGAACTTTCGCATGAGATGAGTTGTTGCTCTGGCTGTTTCTCTTTTTTTTTTTTGGCGAGCAGGATTGAACCGGAAATAACTTTGCTGAGGAAAAATCCCACATGGGGATGCAGAAAAAGCGGAACTTGTTTTCCAGCACGCATCCACGTATCTCGCTGGAATTTCAGCGGATTTCCCTCAAGATGAGTCACGATTGAAATGGAATCCTATACTCGAGAATGTAACTGCAGAAAATTGTTATGCATAGAGAGAAACCTGAATATTGGAAATAGTTGGGCTTACCGTATTTACTTGAGTACAGCAAACCCTCAAAGTAAAAGCCACGCAATGGGATTTCAGTCCAACATTTTGATAGCGTTACGTGCACTCAATTTTTCAGCAAGTCAAAAACTACAATACGTCTTTCTGTTGAAAATGGTCCAGAATTCCCATTAAAATCAAGTTCTGTATAATTTACACCTAAACTTTGAAAAAACCTTTTGGAAAATTCATGACGCGCACTCCCCTTTTTCTCTCTCTCTCTATCTGGATTTGGACAAAGATGATTTATTTGTACTGTATTTGAGTAAATGCAAAATATTTAGTTGAAAAATTAAATACTTCACATTGTATATTCAATTTGAAAGCTCACCTCCTTCGTCAGTCATGACCATAACAGTCGTTGGAGGACCCACACCTTCCGGATTGAACACTTCCAGTGACACCAAGTATTGAGTATACGGAAGCAAGTTCCGAATTGTAAAACTCTGTTCCAAAGTAGAAAATTGAACACGAAAACTTCATATGGGAATAGTATTTAAAGAAATAACCCTCAATAAACGGTGATAACCTGACACTATGAGAATATTTTTCAAAAACATACGCCAGCATGCTGAATTCTTGAAGATAATTTGATTTGGGAAAGATTGAAGAATTGCATGAAATAGTAAATGGTGATATTCTGGGCCTTCAATTGCTCATTACATGAGTTGAAAGGAGGCTGAACTTGGAGGCAATGGTTAATTTGCCCAATAAGTCTTTTGACCACTTCCTTTCAAAATGCATGACATTATTATTTTTTTATTGCTTTTCTCTTTCCTGTGTCAATGAAATAATAACCAAAGGCCTTGGAAAATTCAAGTACCGTATATGGATGTTTGAGGGGGAAGCCTTTGAGTTACAGAAGTTTTTAATGCATCATTACCAAGGGAATATCAACAATGATTTGAGAAATAATCAACTTCTGGGCGGGTTCAAGTTATTATTGAGGTTCAGAAAAGAAGAACTATATCCTTAATTTTTTTTCAAATCTCAAAACAGGGATTTTTGTAACATTTAGCAGCACTGAAAGACATTACACAACCTTGTGCAGTATTTGAAAATTACATTCCTGCACATACCAGGGGTCTAACAAAAGTTAGCAGAATAGAAACTGAAATGGCATATAATTGAGCTGAGAAATAATTATTTTTTAGGGAGAGCATGTTCTTTGGCACAATAAAAGAAATCAGCCCTGTTTGGCCCCTTTTTCTTTTTAATTTTTTGCAAAAGTCACCCTGGAAGAGTTCCACTCTCCGCTCAAAAGATGAGGCGCCCTTTCTGCAGATTTTGCTGTTATTGTAGCCCAGCTTTCCCTTCAGAATTCTTGAAATCAATGTGTCATAAATTCCAAGGGTTGCCTTCAGGTCTTCCAAACCATTTTCATCAACAGCTTTCTTCACAGCCACCAATTGGGATGAGAATGTGGCAGCTGTGAAGGCGGCTGTTGATGAAAATGGTGGAATTACCTGGGAAGACCTTGAGGCAACCCTTGAAATAACTGCCACATTGATTTCAAGAATTCTGAGGGGAAAGCTGGGCTAAAATAACAACCAAATCTGCAGGAAGAGAGCCTCATCTTTTGAGCGGAGAGCAGAACTCTTGCAGGATGACTCTTGCAAAACATTCAAAAAAAAATGTGCCAAACAGGGCTGACTTTTTTTCTTGTGCCAAAGAATATGCTTTCCCTAAAGAATAATTGTTCTTCAGCTCAATTATATATGCCATTTCAATTTCTATTCTGAGTATACTTTTGTTAGACCCCTCGTCCAGAGAATTCAAAAATAAACGATTTATATAACTTGCCGTGGTGTTGGGACTCGGGATCTCGACAGTCCTCGCCTCCGACGACACGGGCCAGTTGCCAGCGGCGTCGCGAGGCTTGTAGCTCAGCCTGTAGCCCAGGAACTCCCCGTGCAGGGAATCCGGTGTCGGCGGGGCCCAGTCGACACGGACGGACGTGGCACTGGTGTTCTGGGCTGCCGTGATGACGGGTTTCCCGCTGGGCACTTCCCGCAACGTCACTGTCTCGAACGACGGCTCTGACGCGGCAGAGTCCCCGAGGCTGTTGCTGGCTGCCACTCGGAACGAGTAGACTGTGAATGGACGCAGTCCTCCAACCTTGAAATTTATACCAAAAGCAAAACAATAAGGACTAAAGACCTCATTCATGATGAGAAGAACTGCCTTTTTTTTAAAGGCAATTATATGCCTTTACCTATTTTTTTCAAATACAGTGAGAACCCAAGATGCGGACAAAATTGGTGCATCAAGAGTGTCCCTGAGTTGAGTCTTGTTTTCCCATAGACTTACATTATATAATATTTAATTGGTGTTTTACTGAAGAAATATTTTTCCGAATTCCCTGAAAAAATTGTTTGCCACCTGAATTTGAATTAGTGAATACATTTTCAACTCAATATGAACATTTGGAGCATTGAATAGTGTATCTCTGTACTGTACATTGAAATGTTGGCATCTACAAAAATAAAATTCAAGTAAAACAATGTAGGTGTCCTTCTATGCTGGTGGTAATTTTTTCAAGTTAGCTAAATGGATCATAATTTGGTGAGAGAAATGCCCAAGAAATTCTCTTACATCAATTTTAGAGTTGAAAATATATGTTTCTTATAATTTTGCATGAAATGTATTTGCAATTTTATCACAAAATGTCCCTATGTCTAATTGTCCACAGGTTGAGGTGTCTGCATGTGGGGGTTGCACTGTACTGTCAAAGCTCTTCAAGTCTGACATCTAAAAGTAGGAAAGTTTCCAGTTAGGGGAATAACAAGCATTTGTGTTGGGGGAAGCGAAAAAAGATTCACAGGAAATTGAATCCGAAATGAGGATCCGAACCAAGAGTGGCAAACAAAATCAGTTTCCCAGTGCATGCATGACTACAGTATATTATGTCCTTCACAAACTCTGTTTTTCTGAACAAACAAAATTTTCTCTGGCTTCTTATTTTATGCTGTAGCATATTTTCTTGGCGTGTACAGTACAGTACTGTACTGTATACAGCACCTGGAAAGACTCTTCTTTGCCGCCATGCGCAGGCACGACGACGGACTCGTCCTCCTTGAACGCCGCCGAGGACGCCGTCGTCCCACCGCCGCCCATCTGCAACTCCCTGATGAAGATGATGTACTTGAGGATCTGGCTGTTGCCGTTGCTCGCGGGCGCCGCCCAGGACAAGTTGGCCGACCTCGACGACGACTCCATGACCAGGGGTCGGCCCGGGGTGCCAGGCACGTCCTGCACCCTCAACTGCACCCCCGACCCCTTGACGGCATTGGCATTATTGGCCTGCATCACGACCACGCAGTAATATTCCCCAGAGTCCTGCAGCAGCACCGGGTTCAGGGACAGACTCAGTTCCCCGGGCAAGATGCGGATGCGGTCCGAGTAGGAGCCCGACGCTGTCGACGACGACGACGACGACGACGACGTCGCCGAGTTGTGGAGACGCGTCTCTGCGATTTTGTGGTGTCCACTGGGCGACAGTGACGCTGACGAGTCTTGCAGCGACAGCAGCTCCGGGGACACGCATTTGCTGCACCACCACTGCACGGACTGGACTTGGGTGGGCGAGAGAGACGACCGACGATGATGAAGGTCTCCTGATGCTGACGGCGGCAGCAGCATCGTCGACGACGACGACGACGACGACGACGTAGCGTTCATCCAAGAATTCAGCACGTCGCAAGGGATCGACACTTGTCGGTAGGCCTTTGTCGTCACTTCCGAGCTGCTGAACATTCCTCCTCCGTTTCCTGGGAAATCCGAAAGAGATTAAAAAAAAACGATGAGAAAAAAGTCAGTCTCGTTCCAAAAGAGCTCTCTCTCTCTCAATAAGAAAAGCCCTAAATCGTCAGCTTGAGACTTATTCTTACTTGGCGATATCCTCCGCAGATTTCCAGCGGACTTTGAAATTCCCGAGAAGAAGGAAGTTATGCTTCTTCAGCGGAAAATAAATACAAAAATGCAACGATAAAATAAAATAAAACATTTAATAACGTGAACAATGTGCACGACGCCTCCAGGATTCAAATCCTCATTTTTTTCTGCCGAAAATCGCTGCTTCGGATAGTGGACAAAAGCTTGTATGGAAAGTGATCATCCTTGAAAAATTCAAATTTCAGTGCGAAATATGGCGGCCAGCATAATTTTCCCTGTTAATTCCGGGGAAGAAATTGAAATGTTATTTTTCAACTCCTTTTAGTGGAAACGGAAAAATTTTCGATTACTTTAATTTTGAAGGCGTTTGAAATTCAAAGTGCTGAGGAAGTTATTCAAAGTATACACTTCAAATGGAAAAAAATATTTTTGCATGTCAGGGTTTCCGCCTTAAAGTATGTCGACAAAGAAACGCATGACCTCAAAAAACGGCACTGATTGAAAACTGTAACTAATTTCAAAGCCCCGAACAAACATAAAAATGACTCTTTTAAATTGATTACTTTATGCTGCGTTGCATTCCGAATTGGCTCGTCACTCGCATTCCAACGATACACCAGATTATATTGAGCCAGTGAATAAATTGCGCGAATTCTCAAAATACTGTACCCCACTCGCATTTACGCGTTTTTAGCACCCCATACGTTCTAAATTTAATCTGCACCCAATCGTACGGAATCGTAGCTTTTATTCCTCGCGAGGAAATAAAAAAAAACCATTCAAGGAATGAAAACCGAGGGAATTTTCGGAGAACAAAACGGAGCAGAAAGAGAAGAAATAACGCTTCGTTTTTCGTTTGCTGGGCAATTGAAGAAAAAAAGTTTTTTTTCTTCTGCTGATGCTTCGTGTCGACACGTGGGAAGAGGGAAAACCCCGCGCTGGCAATGGGATGAGAAAGTTACCAGGTTGTCTTAAAGTGTTGCTAAATAATTCCTGGGTTTTAAGAGATGCGATGCGAAGAATGGTGAGAAACTAGAATGCTACAGAAAAGATATTCTAAAAAACATACAAAATAGGAGGGGGTTTCAAAAAAATTTAATTCGGACGATCGTTTCCAAATCCATGGTGCTAAAATTCCCACCCGAAATCTAAAAAAAAAGAAAAATAAAATTCACTTTGACATCAATAAATATGTTCCGTTTCTCGATAATCTCGATACATGAGGGTCTGTTCTTGAAAAGTGTTCGAGAGTTGTTGGTCTGGAAAGTTTTACAGAACCCCTGTATTTATTTTCCAGTATCGGCCCGTAGCTTCTGGTGCGAAGTTCCGTTCCAGCAGTTGGACTTTTCAAACATAGTTTCGATGGAACAGAAAAAGAAGGAAACGCTGCTGCTGCTGGTAAATGGAACTCGTTCCACTCTCCCCATCGTTCTAGAACCTCTGGAAAGAGGAGAAATAAGAAAGCAAGTCGAGAGAATCCTTTTCAATGCATCCGTCAGACCCGTTTCCATTCATTTCTCACTCACTCGAAAGCTATTGGAGTGCAAATGTAAAACATTGTGGGGGATGGCGACCAGTCCTAAAGTTTCTTCTGGGCCGTTGACTTGGAGAAATGATGACACTTTTGAATGCTACGGTGAATATGAATTTCCCCCAGCCCTCTTCATATATATGACATTCCAGAGCGGATGCAGATGAAAAGTCATAAACGCTGAAATAACTCTTTCTTGCAAATGAGCGTTTCGAGGAAGACAAAAAAATGTAATGAATCTTTTCATCCCTAAGGACTCCGAACTGATGTGACTATAAGTCCGTAAAACTCAGACGAGAGAAATGACTGCATTGGAGCGTCATCTACTTGCGCGGAAATTGACTGGTGGATCATGGACAAAGCAGCAAAAATCCATTTGGACTGAACCAAGAAGAAATCTTCAAAAAGCAAAATCTTGTGAATTATGATGGGATTTTCTTGATACCTCATTTAAAAATGTAAACCACTGAATTTGATTCAATGCTTTGTAGGCATTTCAATATCAACTGCAGTCCTTTGAATATAGGTGGTATCCTGCAATTTGACCCTAATCCATTGTTGGACTAGATTCAAAATGCAAATTGCTTGAATTGCAAGACACTGCAAAAAATTGAGAAGCAGTTGCAAAAAATACCGGAAAAGTGACTGAAGGAGGACAAATTGCAAGGCAGAGGTCAACTTGCTAGTCAACCTCCCAGCAACTTTGATCATTGAATTGTGGAACTGTCAAATTGTCCAGGACTGTTAAATTCCAAAGTATATACCACCTGTATTTGAAATTTCAAAAATAGATAAATTTGGGTAACATCCAGAATGTGAATTTCAATGATGTGTCAGTGGTTTGCCAGGCACAATTTTTTCATGATTTTGGGTGAAATTTGAGAATGATTTGAGATTTATACATTTCCAGAAAACAATTCCAATGAAAAGGAGAAGGATAATTATTTCACTGGGAATAAAATTCATGTACAGTTTATCCTTATGTAATACATATACACTAATCAGCTCCAGACAAAAGTTTCTTGGTCAAAAAATTGCTAACCAGAGATTTTTGGGTTGACTTTTGGGTTGACCAATCCAAGACTGCAAGTTCCAAAATTGTCAACCCTATCCTGGAACATCAAACAACTATAATTCCTTCTTAGATTCTGTTCAAATGTACTTTTTAATCATGTCAATGCACTTGCTGTACAACCAGACAAATTGGGTAATATGTCAAAATCCAATAAAATGGATTTAATTCCACATTTTTGAAATGAGATAGCTTTTACCCATGGGATAAAAATGACAGCTTGTAAACATTTCTGACTTTCTTTCAATCCTCCATGCAAGTTATTAATCGTAAAGTATGGCCCACATTGAGACACTTGGCAGAAGCATCATGGAGGAAAATGTATCACACCCATTGCTAAATATTGATCATCCTGCAAGCACCAGATTATCTTCAAAAGGTTTCCTCTGACGATGCTTTCTATCTCACCTGATTCACTGGAATAAGGGCTATCCTCAACATTAATTTTCCTTCCGCCTTTCCTGAATAAAACCGGAAGAAGATTTTTCTTCCGCATTCTGGTTCATAATCACGGTTCATTGCAAAAAACCGCGATAACCGACTCAAGGGACGTACGGAATGCATGTCTGCAAAGCGTCGTTCATCACATTTGGTAGAATGTAGCGCAGTTTTCTCTCTCTTTTTTTTGCATGCAGAAACATTGCCAGCAGTAGTGGATAAATTGAGTGCGAATATTTGCTTGTCCTCATGCGATGAAATATTGCCAGCGATACGGAACAAACGGGATCGTCATCACGGGGGGTATA